TGGCAAATGTTGTTCTAGTAATGGGGCGACATGCTTGCGTAATTCTTTCTCGCAGTTCCCCAAGTGACGCAGGTTGAGTTTTATACACAACTGAATTGAGGTGACACCACAGAAAAAAGTAAGGTGGCGCCAAGTCGGGTGACCTCGGTGGCCACTCAATGGGAACTCTCCTTCCAATCCATCTGTTCGGATAATTAGTATCCAACCAGTGCCTAACTGGAGCTGCAGAGTGAGGAGGTGATCCAACTTGTTGGAAGTGTAGCAAATCTTCGTCTACAGCTAGGTTGTCTTGGTCGTCCCTTTGGTTCTCTAATTCATGCACAATTAAAGGTTCAATTTCGCCACTTAAATTGCCTGGTATGAACAAGGAACCAATTATAGCATCGCCTAATTTTCCTGCCCAAACATTCAGTTTTTCAGGATATTGAGTGTGACCTTCTCTGAATCGATGCGGGTTCGCATCACTCCAGTACCGACAGTTTTGTTTATTTACATTACCATTCAGCATAAAAGTACATTCATCACTGAAACAAATATTTTTTTAACATTCTCTGTTCAACGCGAATTTTTTCAGTCATGAGTTCACAAAACTCAATTCGTTGGTCTGGTTCATCATCGCCTAGTTCTTGAAGAATTTGTGTTTTGTACGTGTGAAACTTATGTAATTTCAACACCTTTCTAACCGACTCATGTGAAAGTCCTGTCACTGCAGATACTTGACGTGTTGATGCAGTAGATTTTATTTAACAAAAAAAGTATCGACGGAGGACACTTATCATTTAAAATAATAGTCCGGAAGGTAGCATTACAAATAAAAAAATCATAGTAAGCCGGCTGATATTAAAGTTCGTGCAGACTTTGACAATAGGCTGTATTATTGTTTACAAAACAACGGAACCCACTTTGAACATTTACTTAATTGCCATTTTTAATAAATTTGTAGTTCAACAAAAACCTCATTAAATATTCCATTTGAGTCAAAGTTTCACAATTATTGCTTCAACCTGTACAATTATTATTTATACCATTGGATAGCATTTTTTATAGTCTTTTCAATGATGTGTCACAAGTAGGGGTTTGCAATTCAAACTTTTTGAGTTTTGGTGGGTGGGGCCCAGGTGGTGAGTTCTCTTTCAGGTCATTTTAGTTCCCCCTTACTATCCTAGAAACGGTTTCAAGCATTTTTCGATATCAGCTTTCATTCGTGAGAGTTAGCCCATTGTAAGTTTTAAAACTGACACACTGTATGCATTCATAATTACATACATTCTCAAAATATTAACTTTGCTAAAGTGACGTAGGTCTGACTGCTTTGGGAACTTGGACTATTTCATTATATTTAACTTGCATTCATTCAGTTTTGATAACTAATTGCTTCTCAATTCTCGAAAATGCTAACATACTTTTTCTTAGATAAATGACTGATATATTTGAGTTCTCATTAAGTATTTATAATCATTTTTTAACACTGCTAATAATTTTGTACATAAATTATTATTGATTATTATCACTTACTAATATTAAAATTTACAGTTTGAGAATCGTGTCAGCAATACCAAGAAGGATATAATGATATTTTATAGTTTTTAGAATGAACAAATATTGCCAAATCTATGTTAGATCTATTGTGTTAGCGATACGCGCGTCGAGTGGTAGTATTTTTGTTCTGGTATGGGAAAAGTTCTTTCAAAAGATTCATTTTACGCCAGTTCCAATTCTACCTATCAAAACAGAAATTTAAACACCCAATGCTAAGTTTCTGGTATTAATACGCATCAACTTAGAAATTCTATTATTCCATCAAACACATAGATAATAGTATTGGATAGTAACCCTTACTTGTCTGAGTCCATTCGGACCACAAAGTAACCCAAGAATAGTCCTCTATTCACGTTTTTACCCAATTAGGTTTTGTATTCTCACTGAATTATTTTGCAGCATCGCTTCCAGAATAGTGCATTTGAACATTGAGAAGATTTTCTTTGTTATATTGAAAGACAGAAGATTTGAATTGAACTACCTTGTTATGCGATCGAGATCTTTGCAGAAGATGTCATTAAGATCTCTGTCGTTTTTATTGTACCTCGTATTATGCCATAGTGATATGGAATCATCATATTCATTTATTAAACGAGACAATACCTCAATGGCGTTCACGGTTGGTGGGTTCTCAAAAATACCTATTGAAAGATTATTCTGAAGTTTATATTGTTTTAAATGTTTTTATTGATTAGTATAACTTCATACAACTCTTGTCTATACATTATAGAAAAAGTATGTGATTATGTGCACTATCAATATCAATATTTATATTTCCAGCTAAAGAATAGAAATAATTTAGTGTATCTGGTGATATTGAAATTTTGATATTGAAGTTTCCAATCTTGTGAGGTTTGAATATCTGCATCAGAAATTCACGGTTTTCTTTTTTTCATTTCATTTTTTTGAGTTGAGAAGGTACCCAAAATTGAACACGATATAGTGATTTTTTTTTGTAATAATTAGTTTGACTTAACAATTTTCACTATACAACTTTTTCATTGATTGTCCTGTACTTATAATCTCATCATGATCAGAAATAATGAATGATTTAGTAGTGAAATTTGTTTTTTGTAATAATTAGTTTGACTTAACAATTTTCAATATACAACTTTTTCATTGATTGTCCTGTACTTATAATCTCATCATGATCAGAAATAATGAATGATTTAGCAGAGGATTTCTTCAAACTCAAGACTTCTATCACAATTAGTAAAGTATTCAATTGCGGTAGAAGAATAGTTGAAAGTCTGAGTATGCTTCAACATGCTTATCTTAATTCATGTATTCATGATAGATAATTCTCTGAATTTTAGAAAACATTTTCTATGAAAGCATAATTTTTCGCTGGTATCGCTTATTTGTTGACATTCCAAAGATCTCACATATTCTTTAACACAATAATAAGGTCTTGTTTTCAGTACTTTCCTCCCGTTTTGGTTTTGTCCGTTTCTAGAAGAAATTAGTTTTTGGGATCATTTTTTGTATTTATTGCAAAGATGTGGAATAGATGTCTGCGAGTGCTCTTAATGATGTATGATAGGTACTTGCCTATGACGACAATGTTTCACATTTTCCAAGTTTTTATCTAATTTAAATACACTGTATCCTTCCAGAACCTTGTATCAGCAGTATACCTATCATCTGTTTATTTTCTCCATCTGGAGAATTCAAGAATTGAACTTCAGAACGCAATGAAGTGATAGGTCAGGGACATTCAGGTTTTGATAAGTCATGACTTTGAGGTTATGCCGGGGTTTGTGTCGATATAATAGGATTCCTATGATTATTTATTGTACATAATGAGATTTTTGTTAGAAAGAACGATTTCTGAACAGTCAATTAGAATCGCCTTCAGAATTTGACAGAACCACACTTTTACCATCTGACCTGAAAGATCACACACCATATAAACTAATCGGCTTCGTCAAGAAGCTGGGTTTTTTCCTTATACGAGTAATTGAGCAAATTTCGGATATGCTGTTGGTTACCTCGTTCACAGGCAGATGGGGCGATGACAAATATGTTGTTTGTTGTCCGCTTCAGCCTAGTTCGAGGAATGATGCTGCTCTGAAGGAATTCGATTTTCAATTATCGGAAATCATCGACTTTATGTTGATGATAGACACTACCTTGCACTGACGAATGGCCAAACAGCCCGAAACCAGTCTGCAAGTGTGTTTCAATAATTGAAAATCTACTGCGGCAGTTGTATCGCCAACAGCATATGCAGGAATAACTTCAGTGAAGAATCCTGCACTGACACCTCTCTGATATAATCCAACGCCCTTCGTGGTATTTGCCAGGGGAGTAGTTGTTTTCTGATAGGTGCCAGTCCATTAACTTACAGTGTAGGGAGTTGAGACTGACCTGAACAAATTTTTCCTTTAGATGATTTCATTTGATCTAGTTTGAATAGGTGTGAGCCACAATAAACCCTTGCGGGTTGCGGTGGAGGGTCGATTTCTAGAAGTATATTCAGATTGCATGTCCACATGCCCAAGATGCCTTGTGTGGTGTAATGTGACTTTTTTAGCCGTTTTCAATCGCAAATTTTTTTCGGAAAACACATATTCGACCATATTTTAAATACCTCTTTGTTTTTAATAAATAGTATCATTCATTATCACCATTAGCATTCCATCCCATGAGGCAGATTTCGGATTGGCCAATTCTGGAAAATCGGATTGTATATTTTGTAAATATTAGTCTTCGTACTTAGTCGGGTATTTAAAATAAATATATTTGATAGAAAAACATTAAGCATAAAATTAAGGTTTTTCGCAGCCGAGGAATATGTATAGATGAAAAAGAATCTGCGCTTCGAGGCGGTGTTCTGATATCCTCTTGAGTCAACTATTTTGGACATTATCAGCGGCGTTGTACTTATCGCTTTACGTCATTCGTTGAAACTACTACATTGCCACTGATACCCACCGCAGATGTTACCAAAACTAGATACTCTTTCGCCTAAAGAAAAACATTACACAGTTTGAATAATTTCAGCGCATTCCATTTGGTTTTTTTACAGTCCTTACTCGATTCATCACTGAAAATATTAAATAATTGAAGATATGTAAAAATGGTTTTATTTCCATCTGGGAAATTCTACCAGTTAACAACTAATACTTGAAGAAGTTTTTTGTATGTATGCATGTTGTTTTCACGTAAAATTCCTCTAGTAGGTCGATGGGAAAAGTATGGATTATCTAACTACAACTAACTAAAATAATGTTTATATCAAACACAAGTAGTTATAAGTGGAAGGAAGTATGTAAAATAATGCTTTTAGAAATGCCTTTCCAAACTTATTGGTGAAAGTTAGATGAACATTTCTGCATACTCATCATCATCATGTTAAGGTTGAATCTTAAAGCTAAAACTCGTACATCTAGTCTTCTAAAAACTTTTATAGTATTCAATCACTGAAAACTTGCATAATGTATGCAATTTTATTTTAGATTCACTATGAGCTACGATCTGAAAATACCCCAGAAAAGGAGTTGAGCCCACACGGAGCGGCAGATGATAATTATTATATGCAAAACAATCGGAATAAACTTTTTAGAGTAGATCAAAGATTAACTAGTGCTCAAAATGCCTTATTGAAAACAGAAATGGACAAACCAAAGAGCATTTTATCCAATAGAAGGACCGGTAGTCCACGAGGTAAGAATTAATTTAGTAATCCTCAATTTGATTTTTTATTATGCATTCATTTTCACCAACTTCAAGAAATAAGATTATCATTGACACAAAAATAATGTAATATCATATCACCTAAACTGTAATATTTCCACATATAATTTACTAGCGACCCGCCCCGGCCCTGCACGGTTGCAATTCTGATACTAAATATAAATTCACCCACCGGAAATTTAAGGGCATGGAGAAAAGATATTTTTTCTTCATGGATGCTCCTTTTTTTTTCCCGAGGCTGGCGCCTCAATTGGAATGTTTAAAAATCCTTTCTTATTGCACATCTATAAAATGAAACGAACCTACATACAAAATTTCAGCCTCCGAAAATACAGCGGTATGGAGAAACAGTGATAAAAGGCAATTTTCATATGTGAACATGTTCCTTTTATCCCCAGTGGGGGCGCCTTAGTTGGAATATTGGAAAATCCTTTCTTATTGCACACCTTAAAAATAAAACGAACCTACGTACAAAATTTCAGCTTCCGAAATATAGTGCGAAAGTAGTGCAAGTTTGATCAAAATTAAAACCCTTTGAAGCCCTTGGAGAAATTTTTCTGTTTTCAAATGTTTTTATTCAAAAAATAGTCTCTCAAAGTTATGAAAAACAACTTTATTAAATGATTTTTTTTAATGTGAAACACAGTTTATTCAAAAATAGGTGGTTTGGCCAAGGAACCATAAGGCCATTAGTGTTTCTGGTGAAATTTTTTGAAGCAGTTAAATTTTTCGTTGAAACATTGATCAACGTCACAAGTAGTACAATGCCATCTTGTACGNGGAGTTGAGACTGGTCTGAACGAATTATTCTTAGATAATTTGACTTAATTTTCTAATAGATTCATTTTTGGATGAAGCCCAAGATCCCAGATTCACTAGACCTAAGTCACTTTTACAAATCTATATAATATTATGATAATCGGAGTAAACTCTGTGAATATACTCATATATTTGGTGATTGGTAATTGAAAAGCTATTTAGAATGATACGATATTAATCCTTATCAAATTAAAAGTATGTTAGTTACCTTTAGCATTTCATGCACTTTATGAAGTCCCTTTACACAAAATAATTTAATTTATTACCTTAAGAGTTATTGCAAAATTCAATTAAAACCATCACGCAATAAATTAAATTTAAGCGGCCTCACAAACCGATGCGGCACAAAATATAAGTGAGCAAGCAACAGTAATTCAAACTTCCACGTTTCTGGCATTTGTAAGAATTGTCTCAGAAACATATCAGTCATGAAATCATTCATTTTTTATTGCTGAGAATCGCACGTTAAAAGATAAGACTTCGTTAATACATAGTTCACACAAGTTCCGACTTTTAAGTATATATTATTCATGATAGAACGAAATATTTCTAACAGAACAACCCATTTTAACATCAAAATCCAAATGTAGTCAACATCCTAATGTCAGATAACTGCTCATTAAAGAACTATTATTTGCAGAATGTGGCAGACATTATTGACGTTTTTAAAACAAATACCTAGATGCAGACCAATATCGACCATTCGTATGAAAGACGACCGCTAGTGTAACATGTAAGGTCCAATTCACACTGAACGGACGTCTGGCACGGACGTGGCGGTAGCGTGGCGTACGAGAATACCTACCACAGAGAAGCGACAAAGACGGCCATTTTGTGCCCTTTTTCGTAGACGCATGCGTCGACTTGATTGTCTTCACGTCATTCTCGGGCTTAGTTGTCTCCATTAGTCTGTGAGCACTAAGCAAACATAATGAGATAGGTAGTTAGTTACAAAAGGTACCTACCTAACTCGGTATACATTAAAAAAAAATTTAATAAAAAAATCTTCTTATAATCATCTGATGTTGTTAATATAAATTTAGTCTTATGGCGGGTCAAGGATATTCTATGGTGTTTATTCCGTAAAAAAAATGTTATATTACTCTTTCCACAGAAAGACTAAGAACCGATCTTTACCCCAACTCGTTCATGGACGGCTTCAGCTACCAAGAATCACGAGAAGAGGAACTAGAAAGAGTAAGTTGTCGCATCAGCGCCCTCTTTTATTTTAAGGTGAATTTAGTGGTGGCGCTTTTAGGAACGGCTGAAAAGGGATGCCTACCAGTACGAGCTGAGGTTGCAGATAGAAGAGAAACGTCGACTGCAACAGATGAGAGACGAACAAGAGAGAAGAGAACAAGAGCTGGAGAATAAGCGACTAGAGCAGCAATTGCTGAGGATGCAGGAGGAGCGGGCCATAGATGAACAGAGACGAAATTGTAGGGATGAGCAGGTAAGGGTTACATTATAGTGTATGCCTAATCAATTGACAATTAGGAAGTAACACATTGACTTGCTTCATGGTTGATGGGAATTCCAATAACCATGATGCTCTGAATTGTCACAAGGAGTTCAAAATAAGAATAACATTAAACAGTGAAGAAGACAATGTAAAAAAAGAAGTGAATTAACAATTAATGTCAGCCCTTTTTAGCGTAAGAGCTGATGGCGAATTATTAGAGGTATCGGTCTATTGAAGTGCCGAATTAGTGAGATTCTACTGCATTTATATTCGACTTATCGAGAAACAAATTTCCTCATTGTGACTTACTTGCCTCTATCAATTTCAGCCTGCCTTAAATCAGCTTGAGTTTGCATTATCCACAAATTCAACCTAAATTCCCCACTTGATTTCTTTGATAGCTACAACTGAACTAGTTAAAAACACCAATAATGATATTTTCAGCATTACCCCAATCAAACTAAAATCTCAATTATTCTGTCATAAGAATGTAATGTATTGAAGTCACTTGTTTTGTTATGGCATATGTATTACGATTTTATATGGAGATTTACTTTAACTTATTTTATTTTAAACATCTATTTGCAACTCCAAATTTCAACATGCTCAACATTTCACATGCTCTTTTATAGCGAGATTATAATTTAAGTATATAGATTGGGTGGTTGAGTTTATTTTCGAGTTTTTCTCAATTTATATTTATAAATGAATAAATGTTATTCCTATTTATTAAATGACAAGCAGTATGAGTTGATGGTGATCAAATCAAATAATGAAAATATCAATTTGGAAAGAATTTGATTATTTTTTTTTTTTTAGATGAGGAGACACAGTGAAGAGTTCTTGAAACGCAAACGAGAGATTCATTCCAGACATGGTTACCGAAAACACACTGATTCTGAGAGTAGCGTAACAAGTTGTCTTCGTAGTAACCCTACGGATCTGACATCTAAATCTCTCTCACATTACTCTCCTCCTGTTTCTAGACGTAACCCTTATTCTCTGAACGTCCCATCCACATCTGTGTTCTCTGAACCACCAAGGTAATGTTGCACATCAATTCCCAGAAATGATAAGTTTATTCCCAGAAAATATTGGTTAGAAAGCAAAGACTTTTTTGCTACACATGGTGACAAAATGGCGCTAGACGTAAATAAATAAGGCTCATATTTTTGTTACTTGTAGTAATTTCCTAAAGCACCTGTAATAAAATGTTTACATTTTTTCATTATTTATAGTTCCAGGTTCAACTCTAGTCGGTTTGACTCCTACAACAGGAGAGATACCTTAAAACGCATAGATTCACTGAATTCCTATGATATCCCCAGCAGACATCAAACATTTACTCGTTTTGATTCTTTGAGCAAAATCGATTCTTTGAGTCAGCAGATGGAATCAGTAAATTTCAAGGACAATAAGATGAATGAGGGGCAGCGTAGACACAGCGCCACCCACCAGGACCTTAGCATGCTAAGGAAGAGTCCTCGGTTACAGAGAAGAAGTAGTTCTAGTAGATTTGACGATTCCCTACCGATTCCTGTTTTGAAAGCACACTCTCCCGTTGCCAGGGAGTTGAAAAACTCCATTCCATTTAGTAGTTCTAGGCATAATTCAGATTCAGTTAGAAGGTTGGAGGATAGGTGGCAGGTTAGTTATTCACCCAGATGAATGAGGTTTGATTTATGTTTTGCAATTTTTAATGTTTTGTTCTCATCTGAAGAAAGTAATCTTTTTTTTACGGTAATCTGTTATCTTGAGTTTATTAATGAAATCAAGTTATTAACACCAAAATAATATTTATATTTGTACATTCGATATTACAGATTGTCCTGAGATGATCTGGAATGTTGTGGAATGCTCTTGAATAGTCTTGAATGTTCTGGATTGTTCCAGAATTTTATGGAGGGACAAAATTCCCAACCCTTTTGCTAATTGCACACACACCGATTGTGGACGGTGATCGACGTCGATCCCCGGTAGGCATGTGTGCCAGGTCCCTTTCCCACATGTGGTTCACTATTGGAATTTGGGCGACCGGTATAAAATCGGCCGTCCACAATCGGTGTGTGTGCAATTAGCCCTAAGTAAAAATGGGAACCTTTTCATAGATGGGGATTAGAGGGCTACCACCCAATATATTAAAATTGATTGAATGGGATTCGTTTCTGAGTACATTGTAGACTTCCTTTTACAGGTTACTAGCCTGTCGTCAAGGCCTGAAAATTGGCTTTTACTTTTTTTTTTTGAAGTTTTATTTGTATTTTGGGTACAATTGGATATGCATACATTCGTCAGTGAACAATTATATATATCACTGTCTGGGGGCAGCTTGAAAGGGCTAATAAATTAATGTTTTTGAAAAAATGATTAGTTACTGAGAAAGTAGAAACCTTTAATTTTTTTTAACGTTCTTCAAATTTGAGACTTGTGAATTATACTTTCCTCTTTCATTTAAATTAACATTTATTGTATATAGCCGGAATAAAAAATTACTCCAGGCAGAATAAACAAATTGAAAATTTCATTTGTCAAACTCATTTAAAGTTATTAAAAGTTAGCGAATTCCTTGATAAATTAAAAGCAAATAACTAGTGAAAAATTAGTTTAATGGAAATATTTGATGCCACTGGATCATCTTTTTGAAATATTTGAAGATGCATTTAGTTATTTTAGTTTTATTTCAATTTTAGATTCCCGCAGTTCAAAAAACACTAGTGAATCACACAGATTCTTCAAAGGATAGCCAAAACCGAAGTATTTTAACCCAGCTTGGTGCAATTCGAATGCAGCTTCAGCAAGAACAGTTGAGAATGGATGAAACATTAAGAAAACGAGATATTACACAATCTAAGGCTGTTGATTTTCATTGAAAATATTAAATAACACATCGAGTTAATTAAAATTGATAATAGGTATTTTATATATTGTTAGAATTTGTCTTTATATTTATATTCATTGAATAGATAGATACGTTGAAAGTGTTTTCACTCTGGTCCATCATAATTCTAGTTACCACATACCCCTCCACGGTGATAAGAATAGAATGATTACATATATATTACCTGAAGTTCCGAAGTTCCTGCATAAATAAAAAAATGTACCCATTAATTGCTGTGCCTTTCATATACTATTTACAACTGGCTAAGCGAACTGACAAACAAAACGTTCATTAGAAATTAATTTTAACTTATGAAAACAGAACTTTTTCTAAATAAATCGAATGTGGATAAAAACCATTACAAATGAAGCAAAATAACAATAATTATCTTTCCATAAAATAGGTCACTTTTCTAATGATTTACGTTTCATGTTTTTCTGTTGTTTTATTTTTGCTATCTCAGATAATCCTCCAGAAAGAGCAGGAAATGAGTTGACCCCAAGAGTGACTCCTACGACAACTCTTGAGTAATTGAAAAGAACAGAATATCCAATTATACAAGCCCTTTCTTTCATCATATAATAACATTGCTATATTCTATACTGTTATGGATATGAGGAGGATTAAATGGGGAAAATTAGAATGGTCATAAAATGGAAAAGGAAAGTTTTATTGTATTAACATGTACTATTATGATGTAACTATAAATCTTAGATTGAATAGAAGTGTCACCTTTTGTTTTCAAAAACAGATGAAGCAATAAAATAACACTTCAGCGATTCATTTAAAATAACTAGCATCATCACTGACAATAATTTTTAATTATGGTACTGTCATTAGTTTTATTGTAAATTGTTTTCATTTCTTGAAAACTTATTCAACTATAGGCATACCTCATGCATTACCCAATAATTTCCATAAGAAGATCCCCCTCTTCGTAATAACCCTACGGATCTGACATCTAAATCTCTCTCACATTACTCTCCTCCTGTTTCTAGACGTAACCCTTATTCTCTGAACGTCCCATCCACATCTGAACCCAATTTTTCAAAATACATTACATCAACTCAGTCATTTGTCTCGATTTAAAAAATGATACAAACTAATATCTAAAATATAAATAATTCTATGACTTCATAAATGGAGATTACAAGGCCACAAAATACTGAATGATGATTCAAATATTACAGTTACAAATTTTTACAATGTTCTTTATTCTGTTATGGACAACTATGTTCCCCAAAAAAATATAAAACCTCAACTTTTTTAGTATGGTTCAATTCTGTGGGTCACATAATGACATTAAAAATCATCGAGCAGTTTGCAATCAATCTGAATTACCCAAATGGTAAGGTAGTCTAATAACAAAAAGCTATCATAGGATTGTAGATATATAATCATAAATCAGCAACATGGATTCAGTCGTGGTAGATCTACCAGTACAAATCTGCTCATTTATCTACACTTTATAATACTTGTAAATGCCTATGAAAATAGACACCAGGTTGATTGTATTTACACAGATTTTTCAAAGGCATTCGACCAAGTAAATCACAATTTGTTGATGCTTAAACTAAACGCCTTGGATATTCAGAATAAAATTCTGAAATGTATTGAAAATTATCTTGCCTGCAGAGTCTAATATGTCACAATCACAGTTCCATCTACTCAGGGGTCTCATTTAGAACCATTACTTCTCAACCTACTTGTAAACGACTTGAATGATGTTATTGTCTATAGTAAATTTAGTGTGTTTGCTGATGATCTGAAGATGTTCAAAGTTATTCATGACTCTGATACTGAATTATTACAGTACGATTTATCTAACTTTGTACGCTGGTGTTATATAAACTTATTGCAATTAAATATAGACAAATATCATAAATTTACTTTTTTCCGAAACAAAAATCCCATAAATAGTCTATATTTCATCATAGTCCACCAGTATTTTGCAGACTTTTCAACCTGTCTTACAAGAAAAGGGTTTTTTCTTGTTGGAAGACTGCTCTCTTTCAGCCTATTGCCAAAAGGGCAAGAAAACTTCCAAATAACTATAGACCAATCGCTTTGTGGAAAGCTTCAACATCTTGAGCAATCATCAATATGGCTTTCAAAAACAAAGATCAACAGGCGACCTTCTATTGTATGTCTCCCATATTTGAAATAAAGCAATCGAGAAACATAGAGAGTCAAGAGCTGTTGCACTTGATATTTCTAAGGCCTTTGACTGTGTGTGGCAATAATACTTTCACCATCAACGCTGGTGTTCCTCAGGGATCCATATTGTCTCCAACCCTCTTTTTATTGTATACCAACGACTTATTGGAAAAAAACAAAAATTCAATATATTGCTTTGCTGACGACAGCACACTTGTCTTCTCATTATATTTCGATTCCAGGACATCGGCAGTGGATACACATCTTCACCGGCAGCAGGACGTTGAATGTCTTAATGAAGATCTAGAAGTAATACTGAATTGGGGTGAAAGTAACCAGGTTCACTTCAATGCCACAAAAACCCAGGCATCGGTTTTCTCCAAAAAGATAAATGTCTCCGAACCGGATATAATAATGTCATGTCAGACAATTTCGCTTGCTGCTTCGATAAGTTTGTTGGGAGTTAAAATAGACACCAATATGTCTCGGCATAAACATGTCACTGGAATTGCAAAGGCTGCTTCTCAAAAGCTTGGAACACTGTTCTGAACCAGAAAACTGCATACCTCAGCAATTTTTGATGCTTTATAAAGCTCAGATCAGGCCTTCTCTGGAGTATTGTTCTCATGCATGGAACTCCGCCCCCAAACATACCTAATTGAAGACGCTAACAATACTTGCAACCTTGATAGTCTGGAACATCGAAGAAAGGTTGGAGATTTGTCTCTCTTCTATATATACTTTAACGAGAAGTGTTCAAGTGACTTGGCAGATTTGATTCCACCAAGACCGGTACATATCAGAAATACGCGACGGGCTGTGGCTGCTCATCGTTTGCTCTTTCATTTGGAGAACGGCGTTTATATGGAATAAACATCTTGAGAACGTTTTTCCAAATGATTTTAATCTACAGCAATTACAATCCAATGTGAATCACTACTTTCGCACAGGCACCGCTCTAAAAGCGCCTCGAGGATTTTATTGTGGTGATTGTGTTTTATCCTTGAAAAAAATATAAAATCAAGCGATCGGAACTGGAAACAACAAATATAATCATAGACTTAATCCCCCTGTATATTAATCTGCCGCGCTTTAATAAATCCCGAAATCCCCGTTTGGGCTCCCCTATTATTACAATAATTCACAAAATAATCAATGGTAGCATTAATTCCAAAGAACATGTTGAACTTATAACTTTAAATGTGAATCCAAAGAGACCAAGAAATACAGAAATCTTCAAAGTACCCTTTCATCATTCCAACTATGGCCAGAATGAGCCTATAGGTAGAATTTTAAGACTTGCAAACACGCACAATTTGGATTTAGAACTTTTTGATTCCTGTTTGGGATCATTTAAAAAGACTGTGAAAAGATTGCCTCTCCTTTTTTTTATATTTCTTCCTTACATATAGCTGATCTTAATAGCACAAATGTGTGAATTTGTTAATTATTTTGTAAAAATAGGCAATGTCATAAATCAATAAATGAATATTTTAAAAATAAAAAATATTGATGCTTCAAGAAAAGTAATTCTCATTACATTAATGGAAAGGATTACGGAAGGAGAGTACGATTTGTGACGTGGTTGAGACGTAGGAATAGGGTCCAAGATGAAAAAATGAATGGTGGATATTGAGCGATATGGTATAAAAATGTAAAGGAACTATTGGAATAGCACTCATAAGATAGTGGGCAAACTGCGGACAAGTTTTCTGACCACTTAACTTTCGTCAGTACGGTAGAGCCAAGTGTAAAGGAAAGGCAACACTTGGTTGCGAAAGAGGATAAAGAAACCAAGCAGATTCATCATCAGGGGCCAAGTGCGGATTCGTGGCATCGTGGAAGACCTTGCGATTAGAAGGACAACTTCCATAGATGCAGCTTTAGCAACCTGTGTAATTTCCGGGTACCGCACCCTCAGTGGCCATGGAGATCCTTCCAGAACTACATTCTCTCCAAATTTTTATGGAGAGAGAGGCTAGATGGAGTGCATATAGACTTGTGCACATTGCCAATTGCAAAAATGAATTAAATGCAGAGTGCAACAGACTGAATTTCACTAGTTCGGACTTCCATTGTCTACTATATAAAATGATTTGAAATCCCTGAAACAACTGAAAAAGAAGAATTGAAAATGAATAGCTGAAAATAACAATTATATTAACCAAAATAAACCTGAAATGAAATAGTAGTGAAATAAAATACAAATTATTATTTTCTTTTTATGCATTTGGTTCATCCATTCTAGCTCACCATGCTTTTCATTTCTTCTTTCTTTATATATGGGTTTCTATATTTTGTTTACTTTCCAGCCTTTCTACTCTTCATGCAGCAAACTAAGCATTTATATTTTTATTTGCACAAAATTAAATAATCTGTAATCTTGAATAAGCGAGCCATATGCATTTCGTCTGTTCCCTCAATAGGTAGGATACCGTTTTTCATGGGATTGGCTATTATTACAAAATTGGTTATTATTATTGGTTTTGTGAGTATATTGATATTATAGGTATTCGTTGTCCACTGTAAATATGAATCTATGGACTATTTTAGTTTGGCCTGCATAAATGCACGATCCTTTTACTTCCGTCGCTTTGTGAAATAAAAGATACATTACAACGATATGAATATGTTTTTTTGATATATGAAACATGGTTATCTGGGTACGTCACTGATGATGTATTGAATATTAATAAGTATAGACTATACAGGGGAGATAGAAATGCACGAGGAAGGGGTTTATGCATTTATATTAAAAATAAATATGTTTGCGATTTGTTAAAAATGAAGGTAATGCTTTGGAGCAATTGTGGATAAAATTGACTATAAATGTAGAGTTATGGTAGGTATCGGAGTAATTTATAAACCTCATGATCAAGCTGAGAATTATTTTCTTGATGAGTTTGAAGATTCCCTGGGATCTATATTCCCAACTGTTGATAAACTAACTTGTATGGGTGATTTCAATATAAATTTTCTTGATGAAAACGCCATTTTTAGGAAACTTAATAATATTTTAGATGTCTTTGATTTAACACAGATTATGGATGAGCCAACAAGGGAAACAGACACTTCAGAGACTCTTCTTGATTACATTAGGAAAGAACATTTGATTGAAAAGGGAGTAGTTGAACATGGGGTTTCTGACCATTTCATAATCTATTGTAAACTTAAATTGAAAAGGGTTACAGTCCCAAAGATGTGCACTCGTCGATATAACAAAAATTTTGACCAGGCGTTGTTCATTAATGATTTGAGAAATAGTGTAGATGAAAAAGTTTCATACTTGGTAAATTATTTAATAAATTTACTCAATAGGCATCCTCCAATAGTCACATCTAGAATAACGAAAAATGAAGCCCCATATGGCTAACATTTACAATAAAACAAACGATACGCGAGAGGAATAAAGTATTGAGAAAATTTAAGCATACACAGTAACCAGCTCATCTACAATTTTATAAGGATTTGAAAAAGTATACAAATCAAGCTATAATAAGAGAAAAAAAGGCTTATTTTCTTCATCAATTTAATAACTCTGCATTAAAGAATATGTGGCAGACACTTAGATCATATAATTTTGTTAATGAGAGAAGGGGTGAAATTCGGGAAAACTTAAAGAATCCTAGTGGGATTAATGATTTTCTAGTGAATTATATTCCAAATGTTGCTCCTTCTGATCATCGTCCGGATTATTACAGGCTTAACAACATTGTACCACCTAGTTTTGAGTTCAAAGAAATATATGACACATTCGTATATGACAATATATGTAAAGTTAAATCAAATGCAATGGGTTGATTCTTACGCTAATCAAGCTATGTTGCCCTCTTATTGTTCCGTATATCACATATACTATAAATAATTGCCTGGATGCATGGTGTCGTCCCGTTAGTTTGGAAGAAGGCTTTAGTAAAGGTTCTACCCAAAAATGATCAACCTGCAGAATACAAAGTTCTTAGGGGTATGAGCAATTGACTAATTTCTCATAACTGCCCACTGTTCAATCTGGCTTCTGAAAAGGTCATAGCTGCACTACTGCCTTACTTGATATTGTAGATGATATAATTCTATCGACAAAGGTCAATGTACAATTTTATTTTTTTTAGACTTCATTTGACACTATAAATACAGACTTGCTACTTATCATTTTGGGCTATATAGGTTTCATTCTTTTACGAAATTATTTAAGTAAGAGGGAGCAGTGTGTAGAAATTGAAATGATCCAATCTGAATATTTGACACTGAAATCAGGGGCACCTCTGGGCTCTATCCTGGGCCCATTGCTTTTTTCTATATACACTCTCAATTTGATCAAATCTCTGAAATTATGTAAGATTCACGTCTATGCAGATGACACCCAAATCTATTACAGTTCCTCCCCCACTAGTGGATAATGCTTGTGAAATTATAAATCAGAAATTAGCGACATTCATTGATTCAGCTTCTGATTACTGCTTATTGATCAACTCAAGTTTAATTTTACCGTTGTAAGAAAACTTTTTCAAAAATTAGTCTGTCGAAATATGTTAAAGTCATAGTCAATATAAATAAACAGTTTTATTCATCAAATACAAATTCAAAATAAAGGTACATCAATACTGGCTCATCATTGTAATGATTATGTGTACATCTGAATTCAGAATCATCTTGGTGATTAATCAATCTCAACTAGCATAACGATGTCACATTGAATCAAATCAAAACTGCTGCAAATTTGAATCTTCCTTGAAGTACTTTGCAGTTTAGTAAATAGATTTTCAAATAATCCAAGCTGGAATGAAATTCAAATAATTTATATTTCATTCAATCTTTCTTCTCGTGACATTCTGAAAACAAAAATCATTAGTATTAAAAGAGTAATATTATTTCTTGTTTTCTGGCTTTGTTGGTTCTTTATGCTCAAAAATATTTCGGATCAACAAGAAAAAGAAACCTAAAACACCCTCAACTATATATATGAATATTTTGGTTGAATTTTTCCAGCTAATACTTAGTAAATTTACCTTCTTCATCATCTTCCTCTGCATCCAATATATTTGCACAACAACAGGAATACAAAATGAATGATAAAAATCCCATAGGCAATGCCAATAAAACAGTTGTTAATACCGGATTTCCGCGCCATCTATCACCCAAAGTTGTTCTTGCTTTGAAATAGGATCTATAAAGTCTCACAGCCAAGTCATTCCCTCCATATAGCTATAACAATAATGATTATGGTGTAATTATGATTTAATTGAAATATAAGTTGAGGCCTATGGCGCGCTCTAGTGCTTATGTCAAAACTCATAATTGACAATAGATAGGGCATCAGCATCGGTACCAAAAATCATAGAAATAGTATGCTAAGTTTCTATTTTTTGCTTGGTAAAAAAAAATGTGTTCCAAAGGATTAAAGTGAAAGTGTTGTGTATGAACATTCCATTTACTATCCAGTAGCTTCATTGCCTAAACAGGTACATGCCAGTCCAACTACTGAAGCTACCGTGTAGCAAAACTTATCATGAATAAAATTTATTGAGAAAATTCTATAATTATTATCATGGATATTGTTATCAAATTTCAACAAGTAACAGGCCAGTGTATTAATAACATTAGTAAAACATAAAGTATAAATTTGTTGTATGAAATAGCCATAAAGAATGTTAGTTTTTTAGATTATATAGTTAAATAGGGATACAATTATATAGAATTGTTCTGTTTGTATCTTAAAATTGATAATATCTTCAGATTGATAATTTCAAGTATAGTTATTACAAACTGTCAATGTGTGACACCTTGTTCGACATTGTTGGTTTTTGACAGTGAAGTCAACATGATTTAGGTAAGCGTTCATCAGATATAAGTTGAGTCGTTTTAAGCTTGTTATAGTTTCTGAATAAACCAATGTGGTCCTTTGCGACTTTATAATTTCAAAAATATCACTTCCACAGTTGGAAATGGATCCCCCCGATCTTCTATATTTTTGTATTTCTATACATTTTTGACAGGGGTGTTTTTATGTGCATTTTTCACACATTTTTTGAATGTTGTACATAATCATTCAGAAAATACTTTTGTAAGTATTTATTATTGTAGTGTCAGAAAATTGAAATCAACAACATACAGTGTGACCCATTTTTAATGGAAACACCCTCCTAAAATTTGAAGTTGTAAATCGATTTTAATAATTTTTTTTTAAATGTCAAGTACTAAAAGGTCTACCTTAAGACGAAATTTGAAATGTTTATTAAAGTTTCAGGGC